CTATGGAAAGCAGTGTGGAGCTTCTTCAAAAATTAAAAATAGAACTATGATATGATCCAGTAATCCCATTTCTGGGAATACCCCCAAAGGAAATTCAAACACTAACTTGAAAAGATATATGCACCCCCATGTTCATAGCAGCAATATTTACAATAGCTAAGACATGGAAACAATCTTTGTCCATAGATGGATGAATGGATAAGGAAGTTGAGATATACATATACAATAGAATATTATTCAGCTATTGAAAAAACAAGGAAATCCTACCATTTGCAATCACATGGATGGACCTTAAAGCCATTATGCTCTGTGAAAGTCAGTCAGACAGAGAAAGGCAAGTACTGTATGATCTCACTTACATGTGGACTCTAAATCCCCCCTCCCTGCCTCTAAAACACCAAACTCACTGAAAAAGAGATGAGGTTACCAGAGGTGGTGGGGAGTAGGGGGAGAATTGGAGGAAGGTAGTCAAAAGGTACAAACTCCCAGCTGTAAGATAAATAAGTACTAGACATGCAATGTACAGCATGATGACCATAGTTAACACTGCCGTATAACAGATAGCAAAGCTGTTAAGAGAGTTGATCCTAAGAATTCTTATCACTAGGAAATAATTTCTGTTTATTTTATCTAAATCAGATGATAGATGTTAATTCAACCTATAGTGGTAATCATTTCACAACACAGGGTGTGACAAAAGTAGGTTTACAGTTGTTCCTATGGAAAATAATGCAATCATTAATAAATAATAATACAAGAATAAACTCTTGTGTTTTGTGTACTCACAACTTTAGACCTACTTTTTCCCCACTCTCTATATGTAAATCAAACCACCATGCTGTATAACTTAAACTTATACAGTGGTGAGTACCAATTGTTTCTCAATAAAACCAGAGAAGTTGTTTGAAAAACTGGCAAAAGAAAAAAGACCTGGTTTGTAGCATTTGGCAATTACTGCGGTGTAAATACTCCTACTATGACCAATTTCAAGCTACCTGTGTGATGTCATTGATTGCAGAGTTGCAAAGAAGTGAGCTATGGTACACTATTATACAGTATGCTCAGCATATAGACACACTGGACAAAAATAACCTCAAGAGCAGAGATAAGAGTAAAATGTAGTGCTATAATTAAGATATGATGTGTCTTCATTTTTTGCTACCATATAAAATATAACTTATTTGAATCTAAGTTTACATAATTTAATTTTTAATATTGGCTGTGGTTAATAATTGAGTCACAAAATTTCTGCAAATTTAACAATTGGTTCTTGCGAGCTAACATGAGCCAGCTTCAACACTGCACGGCTTCTTAGTCACTTTCATCAACTCAGACATGTGATACTTCGGAGAAGACCACCACATTCTTCATCTTGGTCAGTCAGATTTGCCAAGGTAATAACCCTTGCCCTGTGCATCTCTTCCATTTGGCTTCTCCCGAGTTGTATCGTTTATAATAAACTGGTAATGAGCTGTTTCCTGATAGCGATGGGAACAGGCCTCACGCCTTTGCAATGGCTCAGGCCCTGGTTTCTGTGTCATTCTCCGGTTGCGAAGGCCTTTTGAGGGTTTTGCCTATGCCTTAATTCCAGTGGGATGTCTACACCAGGGTGATGAGGTAGGTCCAAGGCCAACCGATAAGAATCCTGCCTTTAACTACAACATTCGAATGCTGATGTAAGCTTGAACAGTATTTTTTTTGTAATGTAGAAGGAAGGCATTTCAGATCCTTGCAGGCTTTCCTCAAAGCATATCTTGAATGAATATCATTCATTATTGTTCTGATTATAAATGTAAACTATGAACTGATGAATATAAATTATGAATAGCAATAATTATCACTTGGATGATTGTTATTCTGATGATTTTCATTTTTAGATTTGTTTGTTAGTTCAGAGAAGTTTGATATTATTTTCTTCCAAATACATCCTATATAATCTCTAGTCCAATCAGTTTAGTTCACTCATACATGAAACATTGAGTGCCTCCCATGTGCTGGTTCTTTTTGTGGGTTAGTAGAATAAAACCAGTACCTATGAGATGCTTTGGAGTTTCTAAAGTGCCTTACATCTGTCACAGAAGTGCAGCGGAGTGGCTCAAAGACGGTCTCAGGTCAGACAGACCTGGGTTTGAATCACCACTTACAGATATGTGATCTTGGATAAATTAGTTAATCTCTGTTTCTCAGTTCCCATAAAAATAGCACCTAACAATGAGGTTATTAGTGTGAATGTTAAATGAGATGATGCATGAAAAGTACAAGCACAGAGCTTGGCAAACAGCAGGGTCTCAAGTCAAGCAAATAAACAACCAACCTGATGTAGGCAGCAGGTAATAAATACTATTTTCCCACTGGGATGAGTCAGCTAAGAGGTTAATGACTTGCCCGGTCACATGATCAGCAAAAGACAGAGGCAGGACTGAAATGAAGACCTGATTCCTTTACAGCATTTAGAAGGCTGACTTTACTTAGTATTCACGCACGTACTCATACACATGCATGCACAGTTATGCACACGCACCTACCCACATCAGAGTAACAAATGGGAAATGCTTTACATGCTGTTTAGTAATCTTCCTGTCTCCCAGCCCAGTGTGCCAAAATTTAAAAAGTTTCCCAGGCTTAGGACTGACTGGTTCCTCTGGGCTTAACAGAGATAAATTATCCTTCCTGCCATAGTTTCTTCACTTGCAAGATGGTGCTAACAAAACTGTCTACCAGTTAACATAAGGATTAATTACATATTTGCAATGTGCTTTGTAGTTCTTGAAGAAAGATGCCATGTATGTGGCAGGCATCCCAGTAGGATGGTGATCCTATACGGCTGTTGCGACAGAAGGGAATTGTATCATCAGCCCCCTGTCTGTTACCATCACTCAGCAGCGTGGTGCCAAGCTCAGCGCTAGGCAATACCGTGCCCTTAATAGCTGGTCTTCCTCCAATTGTTTAAAGTCTCTCTTTTTAAGGAGAAAGAATAGGAAATATATTTCAATTATAGCAGGAAAGACACAGTTAAGGTCATTTTTCTGCTTCTCAATCTTTCTACAGGTTGTGACATTGAACCTGTTCCTTTCTGAACAAATCTTTCCACATGGTTTTAAAGTTAGTTTTTATATACATAGGACATAGAGTTAGAACAAGATTTAAAAGGTAGAAAGGGGTATGCTATAAAATGTCTCTTTCCCACTGTCTCCCAGCCTGAGTCTCTCTTCCCAGAGGTAACCACTGTTTCAAGCACGTACTCTGTGTATATTAGTGTATGTGCCTTCTGTGCAATACAACCGTGTAATAGCATCGGATGCACATTGTACTGCCACTCTTCTACTCTTAATGCTCTATGTTTAGAGAACGGTCCATTTTGGAGCACACAAAGTTATTTTTTCCTAATAAAGTTTGCATAGTATTCAATTATGTGGATAAACCATAGTTAATAATCAGTTTCTTATTGATGGATATTCAGCTGTTTCCAATTTATTATTTAAAAAAATGAAGCAATGGCTATTCTTGCAATTTTAAAAAAAGGCTTGAGTCTATCTAAAGCTTAAATTCCTAGAAATACACTTACATATTGCCAAACTGCTTGCTGAAAAGGCTGTACCAATTCATATTCTTATCAATAATTCATGAGAGTGCCTATTTCCTCCACATCTCTACATTTTTTCCCCCTAGAGTTTAGCCTGGTAGTATTGCTTGATGTTAATTAACCTTTTTACACACAGCCCTGCTTTGCTCTGAGCCTATTAAAGTAAATTTAAATTTTATCAAAACTCCACTGTGCCTCATAGTCCAATAATGACTCTATTATCTTTTGTTTGGTGAGATGGTACAAGCTCCTCTGGCGTGCAATCTCCTTGGCTGCAGCAAGAGAATAAATCTAACTGGACTACCAGTGTGTTCCTCATGGTCTGTACTGAATGGCTTCATCAATCTTAAACCGTAGAACCTACATCTGAAAAGCTCTATTCCATATCTTTTCTGATTCTTCTAAACAGAGATGGATTCTCATCTACCTGTATTTTAAGTACTATCTGATTAACTAGATCAGTGATTTTCAACCTTTCTCATCTCATGGTACGCATGAACTAGTTACTAAAATTCTGTGGCATACCAAAAAATGTTTTTTGTCAATGTGACAGAAAGGAGGTATAATTCTGATTTATTTACGCTGGACAGCTATTGTGTTGACTGTTGTCATTTTTTAAAATTTGACAGTCTGAGAAAAGAGGTCAGTGCCCACTTAATAGGTATTACGGGTTTAAAAAATTCTTGTGGCACACCGGTTGAAAATCGAACTAGATTAATAGTCAAGATCATTTCTGTTTTCAGTTCCTTCAACATTCCAAGTTAGTAGTTGGAGTGGCTCTTTTCTCTGCATGGAAAACTCTTCAGATCTTCGCCTGGGGGGCTGGCTCAGCTCCTTTGAAAAGTTCTCCTCATCATTCTCAGTTAAGGTTTATCTCTCAGTTAATCTCTCCCCATACTCCCCCGCTGCCACTCCGTCACTCTACCCCATCATCCTATGTTATTTTCCATATTTTTCTTATTACTCTCTAAAATTATCTTCTCAATTGCTTGTTCATTATCTTTGTAAACCCTTTAGAATGTAAACTTCGGGAGGGAAGGTAACCAGACCAGCTCTGATAGCTGCAAGCACCTCCAGTGTCTTAGAATCGCCCCCGGTACCTAGTAAGCCCGCAACAAACATTTGTCGAGTGAATGAACAAATAAGGAATGATGTGGTTTATTTTCCTCCTTCTTCTGTAAACACTCTCCAAATGGTACTACCTGAATTTCCCCGAATTAGGCAGAGGGCGGTCAGCCTCACCATTGGCTGGAGTATTAGCCGTTGCTCCTGGCAACTCCTGTTTTCCACCAGTCGCGTCGCCACTCCATCTGGCCCCTCCCCTCGTCGCCCACACTCCCAGACTGTCGAGCTTCCGCCAAGAGGTAAAAACTGTACTTGCCCTTTAAGCGGCGGGACTTCTGGTCAACGTCCTCCTCGGCCGCCGGAAGAGGAAGTTTCGCCTCCGAACGCTCCCTCGCTCGTCCGAATTCGGTGGCGCCACGTCCGCCGGTCTCCGCCTTCTGCACCGCGACCCGAGCTGCTTCCGCCTCGACACCTTCCACTCACGAAGCCGGCTGCGGCGTGAAGGGGCTACGACAGGGAGTCGGGTGACTCTGCGCATCCTGGCCAGCTAACAGGCGAAGATGTCGGACATCGGGGACTGGTTCAGGAGCATCCCAGCCATCACGCGCTATTGGTTCGCCGCCACCGTTGCGGTGCCCTTGGTCGGTAAACTCGGTCTCATCAGCCCGGCCTACTTCGTCCTCTGGCCCGAAGCCTTTCTCTACCGATTCCAGGTACCGACCAGCGACCGGGGAGTGGAAACTACAGGTCCCAGGCGGGTCCGCGGCGGCGGAGCGTAGACCGCCAGGTTGCGAGCGCGCTGTGCCTCCTGGGATTTGTAGTGCGACCGCTCCAGCAGTTTAGGGCGGGGTCCTGTGGTCCCGGGGCGGAGCGGTGGCCGAGGGATCTGGAGCGAGGAGCCGGATAGCTGAAGGCGTGGAGGCTTCTATTTGGTCTCGCGGAGGGATTGATTTCGTCCTTCTGTTACGATTGTGCTCCCCGCTCTCTGCAGTCAGAGAAGGAGGCAATGGGAAGGGAGGTCTGTGATAGTTGTCAGTCTGTTGGACGCAGGTGATTAACAGCCGTGGGTTTACCTGGAGCAGGTGTCCTCTGACCTTTCTCTGCCACGTGGGTGGCCCGTGGCTGTCAACTTACCCAACTTCCAGCTGAGTTCCTTTTATGTTAATAAGTTTCCCGCCCCTCCCTCCCCCGGTAGGAGTGAGCTGAGGTCAGAGGTGCAAAGAGTGAGTTTATTTGTCTGCATTTCCGTGCCCTGACTTAGTATCGGGCATGAAGTGTTTGAACAAGTGAAGGAAGGAGTAAAGAGTTAATTACTCCGGAAATGGAAGCCCTTGTAATTTTTTTTTTTAAGCTTGAAGGAAACAGTCCAGAATAACATTATTGGCAAGAGCATATTAGTTTCCTGGAGATTGTCTTTATTCAGTGTATTCTGTGACTTAAATCTTTTATCAGTGGCAGGTCAGACACTAAGATCTGACGTTAATTTCAAAACATTACTTGGCTTGTGGATGGTGTTCTCTTGTTGTCCCCCTTTTTACCGACAATTTTTTCATTTCCTTTGCTGGTTCTGTATCTTCGTGAACTTTAAATGTTGTCATGAGCCCCAGGAGCCAGCTATAGGATCTCTTCTCTACCTCCTGCTGTAGGTGATCTCATTTAGCTTCATGGCTTTAAATACTTTCTATAAAGTGAAGACTCTCAAATACAAATACACGTATGTTTAGTCCAGATCTGTCCCGATTTCCAGACTTGTACGTCCAGCCATCTATTTGAAATTATCACTCAGGTGTCTGATAGGTATCTCAAACCTAATGTGTCCCAAATTGAAAACTTTTCCCTCTTTGCCGTAGAAGTAAATAGAGACATCGTTATTACAGGAGCTGAAGCTCAAAGCCATGGAGTCATACTTGACTTCTCTTTCTCTTAGACCCCACAGACTGTCAGCAAATTCTGTTTACTTTAGACATGTAACCAGAATATGGTCCCTTTTCATTTTCCATTACAAGCCATTATCATCCCAGCCTGTTCCTTTCAATCTTTTCTCTAGACAGCTGGAGTGATCCTTCTAAAACATAAATCAAACCCTGTCAGTCCTCTGCCCAGAACCTTCCAGTGTCTTCTTCACTCAATGAGAAAAATTAAGTCCTTCCAGTGGCCAGCAGCGCTCCTACTGCCTCTGACCTCATCTGCTGCTGCTGTCCATCTTGCGCATTAGGCTCCACGGTGGAATCCTAGCTGTTCCTCAACACCTAACTCGATCTCTCTTCGGGGCTCTTTGCATTTGTTGTTTCTCTCCTTGAGAGAGGTAACCATGGCTTACCTCCTTACCACCTTCAAGCCTTTGCCCAAATACTACCTTATTTGGAAAGGCCTTATCAATTGCCCAACATAAAATAGTACCCCTCCTTTACTTTGTCTCCCTTACCCTCAATATTTTTTGCTACCTGTCACCACTTTGTATTTGTTAGTCCACTTCACATCAGAAAATAAGGCTTCATTAGAGCCATATCTTTGTCTAGTTTACTGTTGTCTTTGTTACCTAGAATAGTGCTCGACACGTAGCAGGTGCTTGTATACTGGTTGAATGCATGAAAGTTACTGGGCACTGGAGATATAAGAATGAATAAGAGAGAAAAAGTTCCAGCTTCCATGAGGAAAATGAGAGAGGCATATGCTAGAGAATGACTTAAGGGGCGGATTGTTTGATAGAGTGCTCCAGAAAAGACGCAAGATCTCTGAACTGAAATCTGAATGATGAGGAGTCAGCTTAGGGAGGATCTGGCTTTGGGGACAGTCCTCCAGGAAGAAGGAATGACGGTAAGCTTAGAGGCAGGCAGAAGAAACAGAAAAAAGACTGGATATCTAGTAGAGGGTCAGCTGTAGGGATGAGGATTGGAGAGGAGGATGGAGATAGGTAGGGGTGAGTGCAACAGAGTGAGGGTGGAAAGGTACAACGGCGCTAGATTGTATAGGGCTTTGTGGTTTCACAGACACTGGGGAGGCTTTGGAATCTTTGAACAAAGGACTGACAAGATTGCCTTGACGACTCTGTGGGATGGACTTGGTATGTGGGGTGGGGAAGGGGAGAATCGAATTAGAAAGTAAGAGAAATGGTGTTTTGGCCTCGGATAGCTCTGAAGATAGAAATTGGATAGGTTTGGGAGCTGGAATGGACAGGATTGCAGCTGCGTGGATGGGAAGGGTGAATGGGGGAAGGAAGCAGAACTCAGAGGCGCCACTGCGTTCACAGGGGGCGGCGGAGCCCTGTACTGAGATTGGAAATGTTTAGGGAGCCTTAGGTTTGCGGGTGGGGGAGGGTGTGGGTAGAGAGTTACGTTTTGAATCACCTGAAAAGACTAAATAAATTATTCATCCCTTTCCAACTACAGATCTTTGTGAGGCCAGATTTTCTTCATATATGTCAACCAAAACAACATATCACAACAGGCTGAATGGAGGAGATGTGAGAATCTCTTTGTCTTCTATGAAGCCAGACATTAAGGAGGGTTGTAAAAGTGTAAAATGTCACTCACTCACTAATTTTATGTTTTGGAAAATGAGTTTCATTTAAAAACGCTATTTATATTAATGCGTAATGGATTTATTGTTGTAATCTACAGCAAAAGCTTGATTTTTTTCCTCAGTGGTAAAAAAGACAAAGTTAAGTTTTGGCCATGTTACGTCTAGAGATGCTTTTTAGGCACCCAAGTGGAGAAGTTAAGTAGGCAGTTGGCTGTTAGATTATGATTTGGGTCTGCAGCCGGAATTGCTTACTGTGTTTTTCTTAGTTGCTTTGGCAAATAATTTGTTGACTGAGCGAATGTTGTGCACTTCATGCCTGGCGACCTGTCGGGTGATGTTCGTGCCGAAGGGGCAATGGTTGTCAATCATTTTGTGGGAAAACGCGGTCAAAACTGGCTCTTAGACCCTCCTTGCAAAGTCTTGCTCACTTGTCTAGTCAGATAGTAAAAGGAAACCTTTCTAACAGACCACAGGTGTGTACTGTTAAAAGCGGCGAACTGATTAGAAAGATTCTTCATTCACTCCACACCTTCCATGATTTCCTCCTCTTCCTTGCCTTGCTTCTTGGGGGCTTATCATCCTGAGACTGGGGCAGGATGAAGGCAGGAGGCAGGACAGCGCACTGCCTGCCCAGGTGTGAGAGGACCTGTCTTTGTACCTCCTTTCGGCGGCTGCGACTCCCGACCCATTCTGGACAAGTTTAGCTTTCAGATCCTCTTAGAGAAACTTGTTTGCAAATGAAGCTATTGAAGGAAAAACTGCATCTGAGAGGCTGAGGTGTGAGGACAAACAGCATGTGGTGTACTTCCTGCTAGAGGCTCATCTTTTCTTTAGAAGCTGGATTTTTAACGGCTTAAGTAAAGATGGGGTGATTGATTTTGAGTTGTGGGTTTATGTTGCAAGTGACTAACGTCCTTTGTCCTCCTTACCTATGTTTCCTCTGGGCAGCTTGTAGATCGGGACTCCAAAGTTTAAAATGCCCTTCCCTCCCTTTGGATAGGGGAAAACACATGGGCATGCTGTTCCCTGTTGCCAGCCCCTCACACTCAACACCCGTCAGTCGAGTAGTTCACTGTCATGAAATGTCTTCATACTGGTCTCTGATTAGCTAGAAGAGAGGCGGCAGTTTCCTGCTGCTCTAGTGGTTTCTGAGATTATGCCTCCTTATGGCTGCCCCCACAGTGATAGTGTATTTCTTTGGACACGATAACGCCCCCTTCCATCTGTATTGTCCTTCTCCATATGGTGTCTCACTGAGCTCCCACAGCCACCCTGGTATCAGTGTTACCTCGGTTCAGAGACAGCTGCCGTTTTGGCTTCTACTTCCGTAAGGTGAAGATCTGAGCTCTCGTTAACTCCTTTGCAAAATATCTACCAGGACACGTAGGTAAGCATTTAACATTATTCAGGGTGATCTCTTGCCACTCAGTGATAGCAAATTGTTTTTCTTTTTCTGTAAGTGTAGAAAGACTGTGGGATTTCAGGTAGTTGAGACATGGCTTTTGGGCCTGCCTGGCTCGGCCCTTACTGGTCGTGTACCCTTAGGAAGTTATTTACCCTTTTTGAACCTCAATTTCTTAATGACTGAATGCGTGTATATAATAGGCACTCAGATCAAGGAACAGAACATTACTTAAAAATGGGTATAATTTACTAGCACATTAACTCTGCTCTAATGGTTCACTCTGTTCTAACTCCATTGATTATAAGATGCTCCATCAATTTAATACAACTTTGGAGGGAGAGGAAAGTAGAATTTACCTTAAGTGAATATATTGATAAATACATTCTGATTTCAGAAGCACAAAAACGATATGTTCAAATTGAGGAAATATATTATCTCCTTTTTCCTCTATTATATAAAACACATAGAAAAATATTTGTAAAACCCCAGTAGTTTTGTAAATAATTTATTCAGAAATAATGCCATTTTTATTTATTAGCTAGTAATAATTCCTTTATTACTGCCTTCTCTCTATGGACAGTAAGAGTCTAATTTTAACCTGTAATCGAAATTGAAATGTATCTGCTGGATTATTATCTTATTTTTTTCCTCTCCTTAAAAGTAACCTGACTTGAAGTGGGAAGATACGACCTCTGAAGTTGTTTCTTAATTCATTTCCAAGAATAATAAGAAATGGCACCAGCCAAACCTGTGCTTGTGCCTGGCGCTCATATTTGCCAAGCTTTT